CTGCTGGCCTATATTAGGGTCTCTAGACAAACAGAACTGAGAAAATGAGTATACACAGAAAGGGAATCTATTAGAGTGGCTTGTGGGCTATGGTCCAGCTAGTCTAACAGTGGCTGTCTCTCAATGGAAGGTCTGAGAAGCCAGCAGTTGTTCTAGGCTGGTTATCTCAGCTGGTCTTCAGTATATGGTGGACTCCGGAAGAAGTAGGCTGTAATGGCAGTGAAGGAATGGACTTGCCAGTGAGATCGAGGGCAAGCAAGCAAAGAAAAGCAAGCTTCCTTCTCCCATGTCCTTTATATGGGCTGCCACCAAAAGGTATGGCCCAGATTAAAGGTTGGGTCTTCCCACTTCAAATGATTGAAGAATTTCTCACAGGTGTACCCAGCCACTTAGGTTTTAGTTAATTCTAGATGTTGTCAAGTTGACAACCAGGAATAGCCATCGTATAGGTAAACAGTTACTAATTATCTGGCACACAGTAGGACTAAGGATAAACAGTCAATAATTGTCCAACACACAGTAGGACTGAGGAAGCTTAGCATAGGGCATGATGAATTTGGGTCTGTCAGGGAAGGCCTCAGAGTTAAGTCCCAGCTGAGCCTAGACCCTTGTCCTCTGGAGGCTCTGGAGGGGTCCTGCCCACTTTGAAAGCTTCCATGTGGACTCTGCCTCTAAGGTGACTGTGTTGTGTCTCACTGGACTGTCCTACTGGGTGGGCCTGAGTGAGAGGACAGCTTTGCATTTTGTCAGGCTGCTTGGGTAGAACTACCTGAGACTCTCAGTGAATGCTGACACCCCTGTCTAGAAGGTTGGTGGCCGGGCAACTCTAATTGCACGTTTCTCTCTTTCAGAACTCTTCCTCCAGCTGGAAGTAAGTACCCAGGGATATTTGGGGTCTGCAGGCTCCTTCTGAGGCTGCAGTCTGACTCTTGCTCTGCCAGCCTTCCTTCTGTCAGCAAGTATGTGGTTTGGAAAGTTTCACCACCATCTACTTGAGGAAGGGATGCTTGGAGTCTGCCAAGACCCTCCAGCCGCTCATGAATATTGTGCAGTCCCTCCTGACCACCTGGGGTTGGGATGCCAGCCCTCCCCGTTTCTTGTTTTCTTATTTAAAATCTAATTTAGATATGTGTGTGTCAGTGAGTGAGCACCATGTATGTGGGTGCCTCTGGGGGTCAGAAGAGGGTGCTGGATTCACTGAAGCTGGGGTTACAGGCAGTTGTGAGCCACCCAGCATGGGTGCTGGGAACCAAACTCAGGTCCTTTGGAAGAACAGCCAGCATCCTTAGCACTGACCCATCTCTCCAGCCCACAGCCTGTCCGTTGACCTTTACCTCACTTTTCGACCATTTGAAGTATCTCAGGACTCTGTTGCCTGATGATTTGCTGGCACTGCCCCCACCCCCACCCCCCACCCAGTCTCTGAGTTGGCCCCACAGGAACTTCACTGGGTCTGGAGCAAAATGGAGCTAACATTTCCTTTCATGTCACAGACAGCTTTGTGCTGTGGTGCTAAGACAAGAGCCTAGCTCTTGAGGGCCTACAGGGTATAAGGGGTGCTTTTAGTCTGTCAGATTCACATTACTTAGAAGACAATTTTACTAAAATCAGTTGGGCGCACACAGCCTTGGCCAGGCTGAGTGTGTAGTACAGCCACATAGCTCCCAGTCAGCACCCAGGACATGGGTGAGATTTTACAAATGGGCTTTTAGGCGGTTTTTTATTTTATTAATAGCTTAATTTTGGTGCTTGAGTACTTGAAGGTTCAGGCGCTTGATGAATGGTCTGTTTTTGTTCTTAGGGATCAAACATAATAGCATAGCTGTCTGGCTTCGCTATCATGTAATTAATTCTGAATGCAGAAACTTCCTTTGGAATGTTCTGTTTTCACTTGAAATCATGTCCTTCCAAGAGGGACCCCTTACTAGCTTGGAGAGACTCAAGTTCTATGTTGATACTAAAGCCCCAGGCTTATGACAGGTGGGTGGAGAAGAGGGGCCCGGGTGGCAGTGAGGGGCCTTGGAGTGAGCGCTGTTACATGACTGGGTTTGGAGCACCTAGAATTGTCCCCAAGACCTCAAAGGACAGTGTGTGTGTGGGGTCTCAGGCTTTCTCTGCTTCTGAGGTCAGAACCGGTGTTAAGCTGTCACCCTTGGCCACACCACCCCAGCCCTGGTCTTTCTTTTGATCAGACTGAACAAGTGGAAAGGAACTATATTAAGGAGAAGAAGGCGGCAGTGAAGGAGTTTGAAGACAAGAAGGTGGAGCTGAAGGAGAACCTGATCGCCGAGCTTGAGGAGAAGAAGAAGATGATTGAGAATGAGAAGCTCACGATGGAGCTGACCGGAGGTACAGAAACCCTGGGCCTGGGGGCTGCCTTAGTCCCTCCCCTGCCTCATACCTCTGCCTCCTTGGCAGGGTGTGGTGCTGGAGAGCAGGCTTCCTGACCAAGTCAGCATTTTACTTCCACCCCCAACCAACTGGGGACTTGGTCAGGCTGCTTAGCTTCCTCCTGTGGAGGGTCAGAGGCCACCTCCTCTTAAGACTGTGCCTCTGGGTGTCCATACATGACAGGCAGGCCACATGCAGGCTGTCGAGTAGCAATTGCAGCCTTTGGCTGGGGTCTTGCTGGTGCCTTGTCAGCTGCCATTTGTGTCTTTTATATTTCCAAGTTTTTTATCAGGTAATCTGGAGATCGCTGTAATTACAACAGTTAGAAAAAGGTTGTGCCCTGCTGTGAGGAAGGTGGTGGTGTGTTGGTGTGTTCTTCTGTGCTGTCGTATCTCTTCCCTCAGGCAGTGCCGTGAGGTTCAGAGCCAGCGTGATTCCTTCAGGAATCTCCCAAACGATTAGAACAGATATGAGACTCCAGTTCCTCCCTAGCCAGCTGGGATTTAGTTATCACCAGGGAACTCAGTGGATTACAGACAGGTCTCAGGGGAAACTATGGATGACTCTCATTATCGTCTGCAGACTGCTGGGTCACGGGAGACAGAAGGATTGACAAGAACCAGCCATTTTAGAACTTGGCAGGGACTGTGTCGCAAGCCAGCATTGAGTTTGCCACACGGTGTGTGTGTTCTTGTGTACACCCTGGAACCTAATCTTCTTCTGGGGCTCTGGGATAGCCAGTTTTAACAGGGCTCGGTAGGACATGCAGGTTTTCATGGAATCCTTAGAGCTGACTCTGAATCAAAAAGTAGGTAATGATAGCCTGTGTGCCCCTCTGTTTCTGAGCTATGAAACCAGCTTGGTGTAGAAGAGAGGAATGTGACTTGTCAGAAGCAGGGAGCTCTTTGACGGCATGAGTATAGCCCGGAAACATGAAGGAGGGTGCACACCTTGGGGGTGTGCTGCTTACCCTGTCATAGTGCTGTCTCTGTCAGACTGTAGCATGGTGCCACCCTGTCAGGTACTATTCTCCCCACCTGTTTTTGACCCATATGCCATTTTCTTGATAGTGGCTGTGCCTGGCATTGAAACTCCATCGCTCTTTGCTGGAGCCCCCAGCTGTTTGGGAGGCTCCATTAGGCTAGTGGGAAATCCTGTCCATACATAGCTGCTCCCGCTCCATCTTCAGGGAAGGACGCGCTCACCTTACCTGTGCTTTGGTGTCCTACTTACTGACAGGCAGCAGGCACTGTTCAGGCGGTTTTATAGCCAGCTTCTGAACTGAGACAGGAGGCAGAAAAGACAAATAAAGGCCAGGAAATCATTTGTAATGCAATAAAGCAGATAGCAGAAGCATTTAAAGCTGTCTGTGGCCATAAAGGCACTGACATCCTCAAGCCATTCAGTATCTCGGTGTGGGGAGCACTGCCAAGGTAATGATGGAGGGTGGGAGGAAAGGCACTGGAGCTAGAAGGATAATGGGCCTTCCACAGATGGTGCTGCCATGGTGTTGGATAGAAGTCCTGATTTCCTTCTAGTCGACTGGCTTGCTTTGCCTCTGAGGATTGATCTACCGCATCCAGCTCTGTCCATAGAGGAGATGTCTTAAAATTGCCTGTTCTGCTTCAATCTAGATCTCTCTCTTAAAAAGTAGATGAGAGGTTGGTGAGAAAGACTGTAAGAAGCAGGTGTTTCAGGCCACCTGCTCTGTCTGAGCATGAGTCATCTAAGGCATTTCACGTCCTCCACCTCCTGGGGGCATCAGGGGCTAATTGTACAGGCAGTGCTGTGTACACACAGTGTTGTGCTATAGAAGCAAAGCTGTGCTGAGCCAACCGCCTGCTGCAGGTTCAGGTCACCTGGGGGCGCTGCTGAGGGTCTGGAACTAGGGGTTTTCCCACTGCCAGGGCCTGTTCATGTGCTGTTGAGCCACTCTATTAGGGAGGTTGTAGACAGAGTCTCTGGATGTGAGTTTTTGGTATTGAGGCCAGGGTAGTAAGTGACCCAGATAAGCAAGGAGATCCTCATGTCCCCCCCCCTTTTTTTTTTGGTTTTTCGAGACACGGTTTTTCTGTGTAGCTTTGGAGCCTATCCTGGCACTCGCTCTGGAGACCAGGCTGGCCTCGAACTCACAGAGATCCGCCTGCCTCTGCCTCCCGAGTGCTGGGATTAAAGGCATGCGCCACCAATGCCCGGCGATCCTCATGCCCTTTAAAATATTTTCCCAAGATTTATTTGTGCGTGTGTGTGTGCATGTGTGTGCTTGCTCGTGCTTTCATGTGCACATGCTCATGCCATATGTTTGCAGTTGCCTGCAGAGCTGGAGGAGGGCACCAGATGCTTTGGAGCTAGAATTTCAGGCAGTTGTGGATTTTCTGATATGGGGCTGGAAAATGAACCTGGGTCCTCTGCAGGAATAGGCATCTTAACCTCCAAGCCATCTCTCCGGCACAGGCGTGATCATTTTTAGTTTGCCTTTCTTTTCATTAGTCAGCCATTCTGTTGTTGCTTGGCTTTTGGTTGTTTTCTGGACACTTGTTCACTTGTGTGTCTTCTAACCTTCAAGGCCTTGTTGGAAGCCACTCAGGATCTCAATAACAGCTTTGGATTTGATGCAGGAATACTGGCTTTGTAGCTGGTGTGAGGAATCATGACATCAAGGTAGAACCCATTGCCTCCTATGAAGCTAGGATGGCGCCTCTGTAGGTCTACACGCTGGGAAGAGTCCTGCTCCATCACGGGCCTCTTCCTGTGGGGAGATGTCTGGCCTGGTGAGGGAGATGGAATGTCTGGAGGGTTGGCTGACACAGGGCAGACACCTGGCAGTCTTGTTTAATTGCACAGTTTGGCTTGATTTGGGTGTTATTTTCCAGGTTTATAAATGGCAGAAGTGCAGCCACTTGTCCCAGCTCCCCAAAGGAGCTAGCTAGTACTTAAGCCATGGTCTGTCTGACTTCAAGCCTGTTCTCCTAATTGCATTAGGCTGGCCCATTCCATACCACTGAGTCAGGAGAGTCAGGCTGCTGGCTGGTCTGTTCTGGTGGAGTTTGTATTTGGATAGGTCCCAGGTGACTGAGCTGCTACACTGTCTGAGTTTAAGGCGAAGTGAAGATGGGACAGGCTCGTTTTAATGTGGTTGTACAAGGCAGCACCTAAAGTTCCAGTTAAAGGGGGCTTCAGAAGTCAGGGCACGGGCTGCGCAGAAAGATATTTGCAGAGAGGAAGGGGACGAGGTGACTTGACCTGGAGGGTGGGCTCCATCCAAATGCCAGCCCCTTATCCTGGTCAACATTGGTCTCTCCGTTCCCACCATGGTTTGGCTTCTAAACACCTGATGTTGGTTCTCATCCCCTGCTGTCACCTCCATTGTGGGTCACTCCTGCAGCGGTGGTTTGTGACAGCATGGGTGAGCCTACCAGCATGGGAGATGGATATGGCTGTGCCTCCAGTGGGGCCCCACATTGCACTCCTGTCTGCTGCAAGCCTCAGGTGAAGTGTATGCTTCAAATCATTGCAGCTGCTTTTTTGTTTTTTTCCCCAATAACTAAACAAATTGTAATTTTTTTTTTTTTTCATTTCAAGAGCTGGGAGTAGAACCCAGGGCCTTACTTATGCTAGGCAAGTGCTCTACTAATGGGCTATATTCCTCACCAACTGAGCCATCTTACTGACTTTTACCATTTTCCTATGTGAAAACATTAAAGGAATCTTAGGTTCTGGCAACTGTTTTGAAACACACAAACATATAGTTAATTATAGTCAATACTGTGCACTAGGACCCCAGAACTCATTCTCCTCATCAAGCTGGAACTTCATAATGACACCCCCCTCCTCCTTCCTCTCCTCCCTTCCCCCATCCCTCCTTTCCTCTTCTCTCTCCCCATCTCCTATCTCCTGCTTGGCCACTCTTCTCCCTGCCTCTGCTTCTTTGGGGTTAGCTCTCTTCCTCAGACTCCACTTAAGAGGAAGACAGGTGAGCTTGCTTTATGGCTAAAGTACGTTAAAGGGACACTTGACCTACCACTGGGGGCTTCAGAAGTCAGGAAGTAAGATGGCAGCCTAGGGATCGCAGTACTGTTACTAGCAACACTGATGTCAGGAGTCCCTCTAGAGAGGTGCTCTAGATTCTACCCAGCACCTACCTTGTTTTCCATGTTCCCTTTGAGGCAGGCCCAGCACTGCCCAGGGTTCCCGTGTCTGGCAGGTTTCCTGGCAAGTGGATTGGAAGGAACTAGGCTGTTAAAGGCAGGTAGGAGATGGTTTGGAGAGGCTTGTGACTGGCCAGCTAGGTGGTGTCTCTCCCCACAGAAGCCAGGGAGCCTTCTAATACAAGGCAGTTGGATTAGGTCTTTGGAGGTCCACGCATGACTGAGACATGCAGACCTTCTCTGGTGTCTTGTCCAGTGTTGTCACACTCTAGAGTCTGGGCTCAGTGCTGGGAGTTCAATTTTTTTGAAAACATTTTTTTTTTTTTTAAATTACTTATTTATTTTATTTCATGTGCATTGGTGTTTTGCTTGCATGTATGTCTGTGCGAGGGTGTTAGGTTCCCTGGAACTGGAGCCACAGACAGTTGTGAGTCTCCATGTGGGTGTTGGGAATTGAACTCCGGTCCTCAGGAAGAGCAGTCAGTACTCTTAACCATTGAGCTATCTCTTCAGCCCCCTTAAAAACATTTTTAATGATTTATTTATTTTTATTTTATATGCATTGATGTTTTGCCTGCATGCATATCTGTGTGAGGTTGTCAGATGCCCTGGAACTGGAGTTCAGACAGTTATGGGGATGTGGATGTGGATGCTGGGAATTGAACCCCTGTCCTCTGGAAAAGCAGCCAGTGTTCTTAACTGCTGCACCATCTCTCCAGCGCCCCCAGGGAGCTGGTTTTTTTTTTTTTTTTTTTTTTTTTTTTTTTTTGTGGTGCCCATGTTGAGCTCTCTCTGGCTCACTGGCCCAACTAGCAGGAAGCTGATGTTTGAAACACTTGAGCAGCTGCTCTTGCTGGTGTGAGAAATAGAACTGTGGGCAGATTTAGACTCAGGTGGCCAGACTAGCCCATCCCTCTTGAGGGTGTAGATTTGTGAGGCTCCTGCCAGGGGAGGAGAGATTTCCCTGTGTGGAGTCTGTGCACTGCAGCCTCCTACAGAGAAATCCATTGTGAAAGGTGGGTCTATTCCCTGTCTTCATTGTATCGGTTTTGACCTCAAGTAGCCACAAAGGGTTGTGGAAGTTGGCTGGGGTCAGTGGCCTTTAAAAGGGCCTTCTGTGCACATGAGCTTCAGCACCCAGCACCACAGCACCTCTGTGGGAGGGACAGAAGTGAGACACATGCTTGATCCAGAGCTTCTTTCCAGTCCCAGCGCCTGTGACTGGGTTCTCAGCTTGAGGGGAAGAGGGAAGAGCCCCCTAGGTTTTGAGGGTGTGGGAAGAAAGCTGCATCAGCCATAATGGGTGGGGTGTACCTAACTCAGCTAGCCTGACCCAGGTGAGCGCAGACCCTATAGTCTGAGCTGGGCATTTGGCTGGGGTTGTGTGTAGACAAAGCATGCTCAGTCACACAGCAGTGATGGGGTGGCCATGGGTAGGAAACTCTTATATTACAGGGACTCTGGCTGGCTTCAAGGGCAGCTGGATAGATTCACCCATTTCCATTCTTGCCACAGATTCTATGGAAGTGAAACCCATCATGACCAGGAAATTAAGGAGGCGACCAAATGATCCTGTCCCCATTCCAGACAAGAGGAGAAAACCGGCTCCTGATATCCATTTGCACCAAGCTTGAATCCTATCAAATCCTTGGCTTACCCTTGATAGTGTAGACAGGGCCAGCATTCCCCCCTCCCTCCAAACAGCAGTAATATGGGATGGGAAAGCATATATAATATATTTACCCACGGGGCAGGTTGGCCATTTTGCACTGGAGTCTTCAACTGTTGCTTTTTGTGGGAGAGATTTCCAGAAAATGGTTTTGTGGAAAGATACTCTGTGTTGGAAATAGTGTTGTTTTAACACACTTTCCAAGTAGGGGCAACTTACAATGAGATGTGTAAATTAAGGACAGACTGCCGGCCATGCTCCCAGTTACCTGCCTCTGCACTAGTGGACTGCAGACTGCAGTGATCTACCAGTTTTCTGCCTCTGTACTACTGTGTTGTGAACTGCTGTGGTCTACCAGTTATCTACCTCTACACTAGTGGGTTGTGGACTGTACCAAAAGAAGCTAAGGTGTTTATGGAAAGAAGCTGTATAGCCATAGACATGGCCAGTGGGCCAGCATAGATGTTTCTGTCCCTCTTCAGATTGAATGTAGCTATTTGGCCAGAGTGGGTCTGTACTTCGTGTGCCACCAGCAGAGGGCGAACTCTAGGTCCCTTCACCTTCACATGATTTAAGTCACTATGAGACTAGACTTTCCTTGTATGTCTGGAAGCCTTCAAATCTGGGGTAGAAGTGTTTTCTAAACTGAGGTGAAATTGGCACTACCTCACTCCTGTGTTCTCACCACTGCCAACACCTAATGAACAGCTTTCCTTCCCTTCAGAGCACTTTGCATGGTGGGGGAGTGTTGAGTTCTTCTCTATGCCCGGTGACCATGACATTTAGCATGAGAGTCAACTTTTTAAAAGACAAGTTCATACCTTGAGAACAACATTTACTTACCGCGGGCCTCGCCAGTCCCAAAGTGTCAGGAGCGTGGTATGCCTCTGTCTCCTTGGAAGCTGTGCATTTCCACATGTTCCTTTAACTCTCAGCACCTCAGCTAAACTATTTGTTAACGGACGAGCAGATCATGGAGGATCTGAGAACATTAAATAAGGTACAGTTGGATGTTTTTGATGTATCTGGAAGCTCACGATTGACGTAATTTCCTGTGTCACTTTGTTCCCCTGTCAGTTGTTAAAGTCACCGTGACATCTCTGACACTTTAAGTTGCTTCTGAAATGATTTTCTCTGAGACCTTTTTGTTGTTATTCTTCCTACAGCTTAAGTCACCCAAGAGACCAGGTGAGTGCTTGATGGCATTGCCAGTCTTTGTATCCCGTCACCGGAAGATCGTATGTGGGATTTTCAAGAGTAAATTGCTGATTATTTGCCTTCGAGAAGTCATGAAAAGCCACAGAAATCATAAACATGCCTCTCCCATGTTGTTTTATTATAAAGGAGACATTTGATTGGATGTTGAAGGTTCTCTTCTATATAGGTATCAAGCATTAAGTTCACACATTCAGTTCTGAACATGAAACCATAAGGATATTCAATGTCTTGGGCTTTCTGTAGCTCAGGCCCTGGCATTATCAGTCCAGCAATAGTCTGGTCCTGGTGTGGCTCTCAGACTGCTCCTGGTCCTCATTAGTAGATGGGACAGAGCCCTTGTGACATCCCAGAATTTTTGAGTGAGCTGTGCTGATTGGGTATCCACACTAAGTCTAGGATCAGTGTTGTGACCTTCTGGCAATGAGGAACTACCAGATTGCGAATGCTCATGCAGTCAACACCAGTGGGTTCTGTCAATAGCCAGTGGGTTCTGTCAATAGCCAGTGTTCCCTGTAAATAGCCAGCGGGCCCTGTGAATAGCCACTATGCCCAACCCAGGCAGCACAGCGAGCGACTGTCTCTAAATACAACTGAAGAACTTGTTGCCCAAGATTGTTGCACTCTCTGGTGGTGTCAGTTACTGTGTGTCATTGTTGGGCCCTGTGCTCAGGCCCTGATTTACTGTCTGCTGTCATCTTGGTGTCTCTGATTCCTCCAGCTTCCCCATCCTCTCCTGAACACTTGCCTGCCACACCTGCAGAGTCTCCAGCCCAAAGATTTGAAGCTCGGATAGAAGATGGCAAACTGTATTATGATAAAAGATGGTAAGTTGCAAGGAATTTGGACTACCCATGGTCTCAGAAGAACCGTTTGGAGGGTTGGTGTCATGCAAGCTGCTGTGTCTTAGTATTTTCTCAACTTAGGTTTTTATTTATTTTAATTTCTTTTGGTGGTGTTGAGGCTTAAACCCATGTGCTGGGACTCTAGCCCAGATTTAGAATCTTCAGTGACATTCCACTTGAGGACTCTTGAGTGGCCAGCATGTAGATGCTAACCTTCTTCCTGCATCACGTTGTTGTCTCCATGCTAGAGTCTTTAGGCTGTGTCCTTGTCTATCCATGATAGGTGTATGTTGCTGTAGGTTTTCTTGTCCCGCCTGGTTCCACTGCCCTTGAGCCCCAAATAAACACATGGACGCTATATTAATTATAAAATGTTGGCCAATGACTAGGGCTTCTTATTGGCTACCTCTGTCTTAATTATTAACCCCTAACTACCAATCTATATATTTCTACGTGGTTTTATCTTACCTGAGAATGCCTGGTGCATCCTATCCTCCTGGTCTCCACATGGTGACTGTTTCGCAGTCTTCCTCTGCCTACCTTTCCCAGAATTCTCCTTGTCTCCTCATCCTGCCTATCTACCTGCCTCATTGGCCAAATAGTGTTTTATTCATCAACCAATAAGAGAAACATGTATACAGAAGGACATCCCCTATCATCTCCTCTTTTTGGTCTAAATAAAAAGAAGGATTTTAACTTTAACATAGTAAAATTATATATAAAAAAAACATCAAGTAAGAACTGTAGTTAACAATATTTAGTCCATTAACATTTGGCAAAATTTAAAGAAAATATTTTGTCATCTGTCCTATCTTTGTGAGTCTAAAGTTTTACATGTAACTTATCTTTTATCATAACTAAGGAAAACCATAACTGTAACTATCTGTCTTCAACTCCATTGAAGATCACAGAAGGATAATATATAAACTCTAGAGTTGACAGAGACATCTGGCTGCCTGGACAGTCACCCAAAGTTTCTCTGTAACGTTGGGGCATGCCTCTTCATCCCGTAGGTCACAGTGTCTGGCAGATTTCTCCACGAAGCAGGAAATTTGAAACTGTTCCACCTGTATTGGCAGTTTGTCAGTCATTTTTTTTTTCTGTGTCCTCCAGAATGTCTGGCAGACTACCATGAAGCAGGACCCTGAAGGACTGTCCTATCTTGTTTTGCCAGTTCAGCAGTCACTTTCCTGTGGGTCCTGCATGTCCAGTTTATACAGTATACAGGTTGTTACCTTGCTGTCTGTGGTGGGTTCCAGGACCCCAGATGCCAAAATCATGATGCTCAGCTCTCTGCATAAAACTGTTGTGTCTGTCGAGGGGGCTAAGCAAGTGCCTGTGCAAGCCTAGTGACCTAGATTCCAACCAACCTCTAAAGTTGTCCTCTGACTCCCCACATGTGCCTTGTTTTATTCTCTCTCAAACAAAATGTAAAAACTATATGGACTATAGTGCAAATGTTGTGTAGATAGGCCATGGTGTTTAATCATTAGATTCCCAGCATTAATGTCACTTTGACAGGTATTATTTACTGAGGCTTATTTTAATAAGGATATTTTTCCCCCAAAATACTTTTTTTTTTTTTAAAGATTTATTATGTATACAACATTCTGCTTCCATGTATATATCTGTACACCAGAAGAGGGCACTAGATCTCATTACAGATGGTTGTGAGCCACCATGTGGTTGCTGGGAATTGAACTCAGGTCCTCTGGAAGAGCAGTCAGTGCTCTTAACCTCTGAGCCATCTCACCAGCCCCCCAAAATATATGTATATGTATTTGTATATGTAGTTGGTTGAATCCGGGCTGTGGAACCTTCTATGAGGTTCTTCTATGTTTTGTCAAAAGCTTAGAGGTCAAGTCAGGCCTGACAGATTGTCTCCACCTGTTGCATTGCATATCAGCCTGCTGCAGTGACTTGTGCCCCTCACAGGTGGCTCTTTGGCCTTTTTCCAGAAGGTTTAGAACAATGTGCTGCCACTAGGTGGCAGGCTCTAGCTGCTCAGCACTAAGGGCAGAGTGAGGTAAAAAAAAAAAAAAAAAAGTTTGTAATAATGAAAACCAAATAACCTTTAAAGATCAGGCCCGCAAGTAAGAATGGCCTTTGGGGGATGATGAGATTTATGGTTAATGGTTCTACAGGTCCATGAGTCTTGCAGCCAGTGTGATATCTCAGAGCATGTTCATTTTGTAACTGTGGCTACTACCTCTCTCCGTCTTCCTGGATTTGGTTCTGAGACTAAGACGTGTCTTGAAGAGGAAATGTAAGATAGTTTTCTTTTTGAAAGAGGGACCCACAGTGCTGGTGTCTGGCACCTTCAGCTGTGTCTTCCCAACAGTCACCTTTTTGCTGAGTTTCAAAGTTGTGTGTTGTGCTGTTAAACACATTTCAGATGTCATTTTTTTTTCTGGGTTTGCCACTGTTTCTCTTTGGTTTCTGAAGTCCGAGCTGCTATCAAGGCACTGGCAACTGGATCTGCCCTGCCTTGTCCTTATTGCAAGGGTCTTGTGAGTCCCACCTTGAGGTCTCATCTGCCCAGAACCAGCCTGTGACCTCCGTCAGGGCCTGGGCGTTCTGCTTGTGTCCCTTTGTCTCTCTGAGAGATTCTTTGTTCTTCTTCCTTCTTCTGCAGACAGGGCCTGGCTAAGAGCTTCTGAGTGCTGGGTGTCCCTTCCACAGGTGGGGTGCTTGAGTGACATCAGCAGCACAGTGCTGGGCAGGGCTCCATCTTGGCATGGTCCAGCTGTGTCCCTGACTTTGCCTTGGCCCCCTGCTTTCCTGTCATTGAGTTTGTGTGATCAGTTTGCCTTATGTTTTGATTTAGACTAATGACCCCTTGCAGAATACACTCTGCAAAGAGCCGAGATTTTAAAATAGCTAGCTGAAGGAGCTGCAGGGTGTGTGCCATTTCTCTCTCTCTCTCCCTCTCTCCCTCCTCTCTACTCCCTTGTCCCCCACCATACACTTGAAATCTGAAGCTGCTGGTTTGAGCAGAGGTGGAGTCACTCCTTGCTGAGTAGATTAACTCTCTAGCTGTCAGCTGACCCCAGGGCCTACAGGGCCCATTTCCAGCCCCTTGAGCCTGGGAAATGAAGTTAATTTTATTATGTTACTCTAAGGATTCCCTGTAGTACATAGAATTCAGTTGCTTCTCTCCACTCCACACCCCCTCCTTTGGATCTACCAAAAAGTAACCACCCAGGTTTGCTGGGCCAGCATCAAGAGGCCCAGAATGTTAAGGTCTTAACTGGGGGTCCCAGGTCAGAATTTTCATTAGTAATAAGTGAGGCTGCCATGTAGGGTTCAGTCTCAGGCCAACTTGTTTTGTTCGGCAGCTGAACTGCAGCTTATACAATGGGTTAATGAGGGGGAAAATGCATTTTTACTAAATTACTTGTTCTAGTGTAGCTTTAACATTTTTTCTGAATGTATTTTGAATTCTTAGAATTGAAAGGTAAACTCATATTAAGGTTGCCTAGTATTTGTTGCTTTTATCAGTTCCCTAAGACCACTGTGGGGTCTGTGAGAAACCCCCTGGAGGTTGAGGGCCAGTTGTTTTGGAAGGCTGCCACTCGGGAAAGCAAGCTGGCCAGCTGTGCTATGGAGCGGCCAGGGCTGTGGTGGACACTGTACCCCCACCATGTGGCAGGAGACCAAGTGCTGGCCAGGTGACTGGCTTTCTCCTGATGTCTAGAGCAAAGTCCATCTCCTGAGAACTGTTGGATGTCTTCCAGAGCCATCCATTTTAACAGACCCTCTGTGTCCTTATTTTCTCTGGTACCATGGCTCATAAGGGAGTTTTATCTGCTTTCCTGTGTGAAGACATGTTCTTATTGAAGCTGGGAGATTCACAGTAAAGTGTGAATGTGAGGACCCGAGTTTGGATCCCCAGCACCCATGTAAACGGCTGGGCATGGTGACACACCCCTATTGTGGTACGGGGGAGGCAGCAACAGAAAGACCCCTGGAGTTCATGTGACAGCCAGTCTAGCAGAATCGGAGAATTCCAGGTTTACTTCTCATCCTGTCTCAAAGAAACAAGGTAAAAAATGATCGAGGACATTCTACACACACATGCACATGCACACGCACACGCACACGCACACGCACTCACACTCACACACTCGCACATACACACACCTGTTTAAAGCAGTAAAAGCTATGCAATAAAAATAATAGCGTGTTTATATTTTATAGGTTTTATTTAATGGAAGTTTACCTCAATTTTTCTCTGTGTATAATACACATTTTATTACCAACACTGTACCATAGTGGACGTTGTACTTCCACTCAGCTCCATACTGAGTTCTCTTCCAGGCAAGAGACACTTGTGCATTCCCTTGCGACCTTTGTTATTCTAGTTCTGGAAAGGAGAATTAGAATGACTGGCCAGCTGGTTCTGTTTCATGTTTCTAGCTCCATGATGACTTGGTCCCCTTAGAGTCTCCTTGAGTCCCATTCTCTTCTGAAGGCTGTCATTGACTAGGAATTGACTGCCATGCTGCAGAGAAGCCAAGGGAAGTGTGTGTTGCCATAAATAGTTGGCCTCCCTCGTGCTGTGCTATGCATGCTGTGGACCCTGTGATAGCCCCATATAGCATAATGAGGCTTCTCCGGCTGGCGACAACAGCATAAAAGCTTGGATCTCAGCCAGTCTCCTGCTGCAGTCATTTACGATCCACACCCTTACTGTGTTCTACTCAGGGAGCACATTGACTTGGAAGTCTGAGAATTTAGCTCCCAAGTCCAGTAGAGCCAGCTCCCGGGTGGAGCCTGTACCTGGGCAGTAATTCTTTTCATTGCTCCCATGAAATGGCCTGCTTCTTTCCCCAAAGATAACCAGCAAAATGCAGCGCCCTGTCTGGGGATTGTGCTTTGCAACAGTTCATAGGAGTGTGAGGGTCTCTCTGCCAGAATTGTGGAGCCACAATGAGCCAGAGGTTATGCTCCTGGCTGCACTTTCACCCTGTTGTCCCGTTTGGGCTTTGGCCCAATTCCCTCTCTGGTCTGGCGCTGAGCTTGGGTAAGTTGGACATAGCGCTGCTATGCAGGGTAGAGAGCCTATGCTGGGAAGAATGAGGAGCCATGACCTGCTGCTCCTGTTCACCGCCTTCCCAGCTGTCCCAGCCAGAGTGGACCAAGGCAGAAGCCCTTAGCTGCTGCTTGTGTTGAGACCTTGAGCTGTGTTTGCCCCCGTGGGGTTTAAGTGTTCCTGGTTGTGTTTAAAGGACAGAGAGAGCAGGAACCTTGAAGCTTGTGCCCAAATGCCAAGCCTAGTCAGTGGTAAACACTTCAAGTGTCTCATGAGTCCTTTTCAATGGATGGCTAAAATAAGGACAGAATGTGAAGTTCCTTCTTGTTGATGGTGCAGTTGGACAAGTAGATAATCAGTCACCAGACCCTGGTTGTTTGTTTGGAGCAGCCAGCCTTCTGCAGTGCTTGGGGTTGAGGCCAGTAAGTGCAACAGATATGACAGTTAATTTTTTAACTTTTTGAACTTGGTCATGTAGTCCCAGTAATGAAGTAATTATAGCTGGGTGTGCTAGCTTTACTTAGGCCAGTTGTAAAGACTGAGGTTGAGTCAGGAGGATTGCATTTTCAAGACCAGCTTTGGACACTTAGTGACACTGTTTCAAAATAAAAAACAAGGTGGGGGGCTGGGTATATGGCTCCATGGTGGAGCACTTGCCTAGGTTACAATAGGTTCAGGTTACAATAGGTTCATCCTCCAGTAACACCAGGAGAAGGCAAGGCTCTCCAACCTTCCTGTGAGCCTTTTATTTCCTGTCACAGAGGGCTATGGTAAGTTTTGGATCCTCAAGATTGGAGGCTTCTAGTCTCAAGGTGGAAGTTTGTCTGCCTTCTGAAGCCAGCCCATGCTCTTCCTTGCTTACATGTCACTAAGATTCCTGAAGGAACGGTTTCTGTCACTGTGGTGTTTTGTCCCTTCCCTCCCCGCCCTGATTTTTCTTTTTTGTTTGTTTGTTTGTGTCCTGTTTTTTGCAGGTACCACAAGAGCCAAGCCATCTACCTAGAGTCAAAGGACAACCAGAAACTGAGCTGTGTCATCAGCTCTGTGGGAGCCAATGAGGTAGGGATCAGATTTCTTCCCCCTGAGGAGAGCAAACTTTTCTGAGAAGTCTGGAAAATTCTATAGACACAACAGAAAGCCCCACTCGAAAGCCCTGTGGAGTCCTGTCTCATGTGGGTTGGGTCATCACTGTTGGGGGAAGCTGCTACCACACAGAGTCACCCTTGATCCCGTGTACCTGCCTGAGCCAGTCCCTGCAGCCCCATGTGCTGTGGGGGCCATGATGCGCTCCTGCATGGTTACTGGTTTGGGCGCCACTGAGCTGATGACACTGGGGAAGAGAGGAAGGCAGGTGCCGTGGCAGCTGGTGCCCTGGTGCAGCTGTGCGCCGACAGAGGAGCTTGTCTACGGAGAGAACTCATCCTTGTTTCATTGTTTATTTAGAACTTCCTCTCCTACACACCCGTGGACTTCTTCCTTCTCTGAGGCTTAGTGGGGCAATGGGCACAAGGCCCAGCACCCAGGAATTGCTCAGTAAATGGATGCTGGTGTTGCTGGCCTGCAACTCCTGGATGTTCTTCAGTCTGACTAACAGTGAGCTGCTAGGCCTTTCTCTCTGAGCATTTCCTGTGGGATTAGTTAGGTCTGGATCCAGAGCTGCTGAGTGTGCTACATGAGGATGCTGGGACTGCCCCGGGGCTCCCTCCGGCCCTTCATTAGGAAGGTGTCAGCAGTGTCTCACTTACACTATTAGAAGTTTTAAAAAGTCTGAAACTTTAATAGCTGCATTGGCCTGATCTTTTATCAGCTCACAAATGTCTGCCAAGAAATTGATTTTTCTGTGTCTCCCCTCTGTTAGTGATTTGTGCCAGTGCACGGTAAATCTAATGAAACTGGATTATGAAATAGCTTCAGCCTCTGGTATTCTCTCAGACCTCTGAATCGAAAATGCCCTCACACGTGACCAGTTTGCAAAATGATAGTTTCCTTGGAAGTTGGGGACAGCCCCCAATATAGGAATACCATTTTTCCCGGGCTGAGTTCATGATAGTTGTCTCCAAGCCAGTACCAGAATGGGGGTCAACCAGAAAGATGCCGTGCTCCCCAGCCAAGAGGACTTGTGGTTGTATGGTGGGCTGCCCTGCAGAGCATGCAGGCCCCTCTAGGACCCAATGAAGACTGTCACATTCTGTCAGATTGCCAGTAAGGTCCAGTGAGTTAATGGCGATGCTGGGTTATATCTCAAAGGGATGAAGCCTCAGGGCATCAGGGCTCTGTGCCTGGTGATGGAGGGGCAGCCTCAGTCCTTGGGAGTGTTCCAGCTTGGTCTTCATGAATCTGTTTGACTGGTGGGCCAGAGGGTGGGTGACACCTGGCTCAGCACTGCTCAGGGGTAGTTTTTTTGTTTAAAATGGTCTTGTGGGAGGCTCAGCTTCATGCAGGGCCTTTCAGCTTGTGTTGGTTTTATGCTGCGTGTTCTGTCACTCAGTAATCACACTAGACATGAAGCCAGACTGAAGAATAATTTGGGAAGGAGAACTCTGTCTTCAGAGTCTGTGTGTGAGGGGCAGACCTTGGTCCAAACCTTGCTTCAGGCCAAGTCATGGAGAGCCAGTGAGAGAAGAGGTATTTTGAGGCAAAGCACCCTGTAGTACACCCTCACAGGGTTGTTGTGACTGAAGTGCCTATACTGCACCCCATAGGGTTGTTGTAAGAGAAGCACCTATACTACACCCCACAGGAGGGGCCAAGGAGCTGGTGAGGCAGGAGGACCATCCTCAGCTCTTCAGCAATGGAAGATGGAGTGAGGGGGAGAATTTCCTTGGGGCAAGGAGAATATTTTTAAATTGGTTTGAAAAGCTGTTGCTCCTGAGTGCACATCTTTTGAGTGATGAAAAGCGTAATCACCACATCCAGAGTCCTGACACTATTAGAGGTGTGGTTGCTGACTGAGCCTCCATAGTGGTCCAGTTCCAGGAGCTGCCTCTGAAGCCTTGGCTGCTTAGCCGGCCCCTTCAGGCAGGCGCCCCCTGTCCTCACCCAGGCCATGCCCAAGACCCTGTCTCACTCCCCAACTCCCTCTCCTGTCCCCACAGATCTGGGTGAGGAAGACAAGTGACAGTACTAAGATGAGGATCTACCTGGGCCAGCTGCAGCGTGGGCTCTTCGTGATCCGCCGGCGGTCAGCGGCTTGACTTTCTACGCACTTCCTCGCCCCTTGACCCTTTTTCTGGAGTGGTTTTTATTTTTGTTTTGTTTTCTTCTTAATAGAAAATTCTTAACTTACCGGGACTAGCTACTTGGCCTGGGACATGGAGAGCACTGTGGAATCGTCAAGGCACTGACTCACATGGCCGGCCACTTCCGTCTCTGTACCGTTCTTTCCTGCCTCGGCTCCCTCCAGACTCAGTCACCAGAGACTTACTTTCAGGAGTGTTGGGGGCCTCATCCACTTTCCTTTTAAGTCCTTATTTTTGTTTATACTTGATCCTTTTTTTTTTTTTTTTTAAACCCTCCTTTGAGTTTAAAGGGGAGCTCCTTTTAATAAGTGTCTTGAGGTCTTTCTCCCAGGAAGAGCAGCCAGTGTGTTCTGTCTGAATCTGATTGGTGGATTGTGTGCCTGCTCCCCTTGTTAGGCCCAGAAGTGTGGGGCAGGAGAGTTCTCTTGCCTCTACCTTCTCGGAGAAATAAATGATGTGTAACATCTCATCTGCCTTGCGCTTGCCGCTGGCTGAGCGACCGGAGCTTCAGCCCTCACCCTGGGGACTGCATCCAATGGATGGGGCTGGGAGAGGGGACATTGCATATTCCTAACACGCTGGAGTCACCACTCTGAATGTTCTTGAATGCACATGATTTATTTAGACACACCTGTCCTTGCTCAGGGTGGAAGAAGTGGTAATTTCAGAAGTTTCCATTTGTCATTCCTCTCTCCAGCTTCCAATGGCTAGAAAGAAGATCACATGCCCCACTGTGGTCTGGGTTTTCTCTGCTAGTTGATGTGACAAGGTGGGTGTTGCAATAACCAGTCTGTTGTTGCTGGACCCACCACAGGACCCCCAAACTCACCCAAGATTTTGCCCATGTTGGTGACAGGGAGAGCTCTGTCATGCTGCAGCCACCAAATCTGTATGCTTTTTCTTGAGAACACCCCCAGTGAAGCCACCTATCACGGCTCTCTGTTCCTCCCTGGCCCTTTTATTGTTCCTCACCAGCGAGGCAGGGGGTTCTTTGTGCTCTAGCTGCCATGTGTGAAGAGGCAGGTTAGAGCAACTGTCAACATCTCTCTGGACTACCAATAGGCTGTCTATACTTTACAATTCCCGCCCCCTCCCCCAACAGGATTTCTGTGTGCAGCCCTGACTGTCCAGGAACTTATTCTGTAGACCAGACTGGTCTTGAACTCAAGAGATCTGCCTGCCTTTGCCTCCTGAGTTCTGGGGATTAAAGGCATGTGCCACCGCCACCTGGCTTTTAGGAATCTTTACAAGTAATCTGTTTTGCTTAGTTCCTTGGACTCCGTTCATGTTGCCTCTCGATGTGGATAGCCACAGTGGTGGCTGTGACTTGTTAGAAGAAAGACTTGTACAGACCTATTGTTCTAATTTATATCCATTCTCTCTCTCTTATTGGAATTTTTAAGAAACCATGATAAACGATGATGTTTATTAATTAAAAGTTGCCAAGTGGTCTGTTTCTTCTCTGTTCTCTACCTTCTACCTACCCCACTGTCACCACAGGTGCTATGGTGATCCCCACATTGTTGAAGATTCTTCATAGTGAACCCAACTTTGCTACTATGTACATCACAGTAAGCCCTACTTTGTTACACGCTCACTGCAGTCAACAAAGCCCAGGGTCAGCAAAGGATATCATGGGTGTGGAACTCAGCCGCCTGAGTTCCCATTAGTTTGGGGGAGTAGTGTGGTGGCCCCGAGTCAGGCAGTAGCAAGATGTGTCTCCTCCATCTTGCCAGGTGGCCGAATTGTACCTTTGTGAAGTAACTTTAAGACCAGGATGTGGCCACCTTTGCCTTTTGTAACTTCAGAGGTCATTTGGGGCTATTCTTGGACATGACCTTGACCATCGATGCCTGCCCAGTGTCCTAAGAAGCCGTGAAAGGGACTTGAGATACAGCCTCAGAAGATTAATATCCCAGATCCCAGAACACTTGAGTATTCTAGTCACCCTTGAAGTGAAAAATCAGCAGTTCTGTTGTTCTCATAGGGCTCTGTTTGTGGACAGAGATCCTTCAGGGAGGAACAGAGACTTAAAGGTTAAGTATATAGATGCTGGAAGAATGGGAGACTGGCCTTCAGCCTGGTGACCAGTAAGATGCCTCTCCCTGGATCCCCACACAGTAGAGCTCAAGTCCAACTGTCCCCAGGCAGTCCTGATGCTGTTTGCATCAGGGTGTTTTCTTGCCATGTTATCTGGCCACAAGTCCATGGTGTCAGCCTCTGCTGTGGGGTGTCTGTGTCGTCTCCCCTGCGCCTCTTATCAAGCCAGTATCCTGACAAGTTCTAGATAGATTCCCATAGCCATAACCAAAGCAGGGTGTGTGTTTCCCATGGAGTACTAGTATTTAATGGTTGTCTACCTACCATTGTGATTTTTGTCTAAACTTGTAACTAGGGCCATGGAAGATCCTAGATCCTTCAGGTTAAACTATGGATTCTGTGAAGCCCCCCTGCAGGACTGGGTGGCTTTTTAAGTGAAATGGGTGTGTGTGTGGGGGGGGTGTCGTAGATAAGGTTGATACCACTTCTTAAGGGAATTGGAGAGGGGTGAATCCTTTTTACAGTATTTTCTGTTTCTCCTTTTTTCTTTAATTTTTAGTAGATAATCTTATTTAAGAATTTTGCTTCACCAGGCGATTAATCTTATTTAAGAATTTTGCTTCACCGGACGTTGGTGGCACACGCTTTTAATCCCAGCACTCGGGAGGCAGAGGCAGGCGGATCTCTGTGTGTTCGAGGCCAGCCTGGTCTCCAGAGCGAGTGCCAGGATAGGCTCCAAAGCTACACAGAGAAACCCTGTCTCGAAAACAAAAACAAAAACAAAACAAAACAAAATTGCTTCTCATCTGGTAATTTTGAATCTCTGTCCTTGGTATCTCACCAGTGTTTCCAAAGAGCCCAAACCATTTTAAATTCAAGGTAAATCGGCAGCCATGGCAAGCAGCTGGTGGGCTTTCTGTAGCACTATTAGTGGGTACTGCCTTCAGTGTTCTGCGAGGCGAATGTCAATTTGTAAAAATAATTTTAAAAGTATAGGTTCTCCTGAATAATAAACTTTCAAAGAGAAAGCTGTGAAGGTTAGATCGATTGGCTTGCTGAGTGATTGAAATTTATTTTACGTTTTCCTCTCACTGAGCATGGGGACAGGAGTTTGTGGGGAGAGTGTGGATGTTCTGGCATGATGCTGAAAAGCTTCAGAGCCCCTTGTAAAGCACAGGGGTGGGGGTGCCGCCCCTCAAATCCCATGATTGGGGTGATAACACAAAGTTAGAGATGAGCTACTATTGGATCAGGTGGAAAACCTTGGAAGTGACTCATTCCCGTTTGAAGCTGTTCGTGTAGTAGGTATGTGGTCAGAAGTACAATGTACTGTGGGTGCCTAAAAGCAGTGCCACCTATGACCTCGTGTGCCTGTGATCCAGGTGTGGCACACCTGTCAGGAAGGACTATTCTGTACATTAAATAATATAAAGGAGTGCTTCCTTATTTTACTGTTGTAATACCGTGCTTACAGAATGTGCCCACACCAATTTAGATGCTAGTGATCCCTGTTGCCAGCATCCAGGTCATGATGTGACATTGTCAGCTTCCATTCCTCCTCACAGTCTAGTTTTCTGTCTTAATTACTGTAGCCTTCAGGCTCCTTTGTTCTGTGCTTTGGGTCTGAAGTGTTCCCTAGAAGTTTGTATGTTAGGTAGAGGCTTAGTCCCCAGCTGAGTGCTCTCGAGGGGTGGTGGGATTTGGTTCTTTTTTTTTTTTTTAATTTTATTTCATGTGCATTGGTGTGAGGGTGACAGAGCCCCTGGAACTGAAGTTATAGACAGTTGTAAGCTGCCATGTGGGTGCTGGGAATTGAATCTGGATCCTCTGGAAGAGCAGCCAGTGCTCCCAACTGCTGAGCCATTTCTCCAGCCCAGGTGGTGGGATGCTAGGTTAGTGCGGTACCCACCATGACCACAGGCAACTGGCCATGGACTGAACCCCAAACTGCCTGAAAAAACCTTAAGTTGCTTATCTTGGATGTTCTGTTACTATAGTGATGAGCAGACTAACCCATGTCCTTTCATAGCTCTATCCAGACACCCAGTATAGGGCAAAGACATACCAGAAATGTCAGAGCTGGCAGAAGAGGACATAACCCAGTGGGGAAGTCCACCACCACTTACCCTCCTCTTTGTTGCCTGGCCTGAGTACCTTTGTGTATCCCAGGCAGCACTGAAACCTTTGCAGAAGGGACTTTCTCATTTACTAAGGTAGTTTGTTGCTAGAGTTTTTTCATCCTGCCAGGTCCTGCCACTTCAGCCCCAAATGAACACACAGAGACTTATATTAATTATACAGCTGTGGGCTGATGGCTAGGGCTTCTTATTGGCTAGCTCTCTCTTAATTATTAACCCATTTCTATTAATATAAGTATTTCCACGTGATCTTATCTTACTGGAAAAGGGTCCGGACCTGTTACTCCTTCCTCCACTTCTTGGCGTCTCTCTCCTCCTTCTCCCTCCCTCCTCCCCCCTCTCTGCCTACCTTTCCCAGAATTCTCCTTGTCTCCTAGTACCGCCTATCTTCCTGCCTCTATTGGCCAAACAGTGTTTTATTCATCAACCAATAAGAGAGACATATACAGGACATCCCCCATCAGTAGTTGGCAAGGGACCTTGTGCTCCCAGATTCAAGGCTGTCGAATTAACTGAGTTTCCATGAAACCCAGGCCTCAGTCAGCCACATGGAGAGCTGGGCATCCTGCATCCGGATGCTCTTTGATGTCAGCGAGCCTTCTTTTGCCTCAGCCTCTGTGGAGACACAGTCATGGGGAGACACACCAGTCCTGACTCTCTGCTTCAAACTTGAAGTCTGCCCTGCTTAGATCAGCAGTCTTCAGACAGAAGCAGAGATGTTTCTGATCTCTGTGAAGGATGGAGACTCCAGGCTGTATCCTTGCTGAGTCTGATAAGCACCATTCCCGCACTTTGAGCAGGCTTTGGGTGCAATGAAGGAAGACAGGGGAACCATTCACTTTGGACCCATCATTGGCACTAAGAACATAATTGTTTTATGATACTTTCCAGAAAACACAGTAAGTTGTGTCAACTTGACCCAAGCCAGAGTCATCAGTGGAAGGAGCCTCAGCTGAGGAAATGCCTTTCGAGATTCAGCTGTAAGGCATTTTCTCATTTATCGAACAATGGGGGAGGGCCCAGCCCATGGTGAGTGGGGCCATACCTGGGCGGCTGGTCCTGGGTTCTATAAGAAAGCAGGCTGAGCAAGCCATGAGGAATGAACCAGTAAGCAGCACCCTCCATGGCTTCTGCATCAGCTCCTGCCTCCAGGTTCCTGCCCCATTTGAGTTCCTCTCCTGACTTCCTTCAGTAATGGATAATAATGTAGAAATGTAAACCAAATAAACTCTATCCTCCTAGTTGCTTTTGGGTCATGGTGTTTGATCACAGCAGTAGAAATCCTAACTAAGGCAACTGGTTACTAAAATAAAAATACATGTATTTAAGATGCTTAATAGGGGAGAAAAGTAGATAAGAGACAGCATAGGGGCCCAGATCTTAATCCCTTTACCCATCTTCTCAGTTACTGGGTCACGAGAAAGATTCCAATCTATAAAACAACCAAATTACTCACCAGGTAATGTTGACACACACCTGTAATCCCAGCACTCAGAAGGCAAAGGGAGGGGGATCTCTGAGTTTGAGGCCAGCCTAGTCCACAAAGTGAGTTCTAGGACAGTCAGAGAAACACTGTCTGAAACAAAAACAAAACAGAATTTTGTTTACTCATAGGAAAGAGCAGTGCAGACCGGAACAGTCTCTTCTTGGTCCCTCAAAACAGGTGACTCAGCAAGGGTGTTCCATTTCTCAGTAGGGTGGTGTCCCAATCTGTCCGCCACCCCTCCAAATGCTTCAGAAAGATGGGGGGTTAAGGTGGGTGCAGGACAAAGCCTGCTCAAAGCAATGTTCTGGGTCTCCAGAGCCCAACACTGCAGCTTGGAGAGCCAGTAGGCACTGGTGGAAGCAACCCCTGGTTAACAGACCTCTGCATGAGGTGAGACAACACCTGTTTTCCTGTTTTGTTATCTGAGCATGCCCTTCCCCTTGGTTTAGAGGATTTTTTGTTTGTTTTGTTTTGTTTTTGTTTGTTTTTGTCACTTTTACACAAGCTGGTGTCATCTGGGGAAGAGGAACATTGAATGAGATGCCTCCATCGGACTGGCCTGTGGGGTGTTTTCTTGGTTAATGATTAATGTGGGAGGGCCCAGCTCACTGTCTGTGTTGCCATCCCTGGGCAGGTGGGTCCGGTGGAAAAGAAAGAGCAAGCCATGGCCAGTAAGCAGCATTCCTTCATGACCTATGTCTCAGTTCCTGCCTTGACTTCCCTCAGTGACCGGCTGTGATTAGACTGTGTAAGCCAATTAAACCCTTTCCTCCATAAGTTGCTTTGAT